TGCTTTTGCATTCATGGGTTGGAATGTATTATAGTTGAAATAAACAGTGAAAAAAAAATCCTCTGGCCTTACAAACACATACAGTTGGAAATTTTCCAAGTCAAAATCATTTAAAAAATAAATTTGGATATACTTCTTTCCCCTTTTTTTTGCTCTTCATTCTTTAGTAATAGTCCTTGGGATTCGACCCGGTCTTCTGTTTACTGTGAACTTTATGTTAAAATCTCATTTTTCACAAACTTGAGCATTAATGCACTCTTTCTGTCTTTCCCTCATTTTCTTCCTCTCCTTTCCTACTCTCCTTTCTCCCTCTCTTCCTCTCTCCTGTCATGTAGTTTGAACTTAGGATCTCATGCTTTTAAGAAAGGCATTCTATCACTTGAACCATACCCCTTCCCCCCAGCCTTTTTTTTTAACCTTTATTTTTCAGATAGGGCCTTGTGTTCTTGCCAGTGTTTTTTTGTTTCAGTGTTTTTTTGTTTGTTTGTACCCTGTGTTTCTGTTGGTAGTAACACTATAGGCTTCTCATTAGAACATTACATTCAAATTACTGAAGATATCTTACAGTGTAATTTATAATTTTATGTAGAATGGTAATTTATTTAAAAAATAGCTTGTCCTAATGTGAGTAAAATATTTATTGAGATTGAAAGTTTCTGTTTTTAATTTTTAATCAATTTTATTTTTTTTTGCCAGTCCTATGGGTTGAACTCAGGACCTGGGTGCTGTCCCCTTAGCTGCTGCTCTAGGCAGGAAGCCATAGCACCACTTCTTGCTTTTTTATTGGCGATAACAGTCTCATGGACTTTCCCGGGCTGGCTTTAAGCTGAGATCTCTCAGCTTCCTGAGGAGCTATGATTAGAGGAGCCACAGTTAACCTGGCTGAAATTGAGGTTTTGGGGGCTTTTTCTATTTTTTGGTTGGTTGTGAGGCTTGAACTCTGGGCCTGGGCACTGTCCCTCAGCTCGTCAGCTCAGGGCTAGTGCTCTACCACTTGAGCACCATGCCACTTCCAGTTTTTTGGTGGTTTATTGGAGATAAGAGTCTCACAGACTTTCCTGCCCCCATTGGCTTTGAATCACAATAGTCAAATCTTAGCCTGCTGCTGAGTAGCTAGGATTACAGGCATGAGCCACTGGTGCCCGACAAGATTGAGTTTTTTAAAAAGGTATTTAAGAGCATTTAATACTAATTTAAATAGATCCATTCTGCTTCTTTTTGTACATACTTTTGGGCAGAGCCATGAGAACATACAGTTAAAATGTTTGGAAATAAGCCCACAGTTGTAGTTTTCAGTGCTAATACACTATGTGCCACTGATGCTTTAATAAAATCAATAATTTAAATCTGTTCTGCTGGGATTTTTGTATTAAAAAATTAGCTGAAATAAACATTTCACATAGAGCCTGTGTTTCTTCTTGATTCTCCACTTGTAATTAAATCCTAGTGTTGCCTTCCCTTTACAATTTAAAATGTATTTTGGTAAACCGGATTTCAGTTGAGCCTAACAATATGTTTACTTTATCACATTTTAATCTGTAGTTCATACAGTATGAAAGGTATCTTAAAATTTAATCAGTGTATAATGTTTTGAACACATACAAGCGGTATTTGTTCCCTTAAACTGGATTTTTATAACTTTTAATGAAGAGGGAAGTGAAGGGTAGGTACTGTTCCTGGAAATGTTTCATTGTGGCAGTGGGGCGATGGTGGACAAAAAATGTTAGACATTACTGTAGCATGTCCCTCTTGCCTTCAATAATGTGTAAAGAGTAGGATAGGTTCATAAAAATAATTGTCATAAAGGCAGATCTAAGCAGTCATGGATTTAACTTTGAAACTTCAAGTTTTTTAGTGAATAACCAGAGTTTTAAGATTTTTTTTTTTTTGTTGGTTGTGGGGCCTGAACTCTGGGCCTGCTGTTCCTCAGCTTTGCAGCTCAAGTCTAGCACTCTACCACTTGAGCCACAGCGCCACTTCCGGTTTTATGGTGGTTAATTGGAGATAAGAGTCTATAGACTTTCTATAGACTGGGCTGGCTTTGAACCACAATCCTTAGATCTCAGCCTCCTGAGTAATTGTATTACAGGCACCTGGCAGTTTTACGAACTTTTAAGAAGCCAGGCATAGTGCTGAGACAGGAATATCCCTTGATTATATAAGAGTTCCAAGATCAGAATGGGTAACAGTGAAAGAAGCTCATCTCAGAAAATGGTGAGATAGTCTCTATTTGTTAGAGCTACTATTAGTGAAAACTAGAGATTTGGAAGGTGTCAGATACTACAGAGATATTCTTGCTCATAATCCTGAGGTTTGACATCTGAGATTGAAGTGTCAGCAAGGTTTGTTTCTTCTGAGGCTCCTCTAGTTGATTCACTGATCATTGCATTTCTTCTCTACACATTGTCTTCTTGCCAGGGCTTTAGTCATAGTGGATTTGGGTATACTCAAATGGTCTTATTAATGTCATGACCAGATGTGTCTGCACATAGCATTCCCATTCTGAGGCAACTCCCTCCCCTTCCAAACACACACTTGTTAATATTATCATTTTGAGTTAGTAGTCAAGTATAATAAGCTCACTAGATTAAAGAAATGGTATTGTCCTCATCTATCTTTGTTTTAGAGGGACAGTTTTATATAGTTTGCTGTGATGACCCAGTGAGTAGCTTGGCAGCTGATAAATTTTGCTTTGCAGTGGGAATAAAAGCACACCTCAAATAACACAATTTTTGTAAATGGTTCTGCATGTTTAAAGGCTGTTATTTAGTGGAATTACAGTGGTCTTTGTGTGACAGCAGTCTTGCCTGACCACTTAGGATGTCATTTCTGTGTATGGCAGTCTGTTGTAAACTGTACCTTGATAGCTTGCCTTGTACTTGGGCATTTGACAACATATGTCATGATTTAGAATTGGCAACAGGACTTTAGGATTTCTTTATACTCCTTTGGAGATAGGTTTTTGTTGTTGTTGTTGTTGGTGTTTTGTTTGTTTGTTTGTTTTTTCTTGCACTAATGGAAGTAATTAAAGTTCAGTGTCTGAATACCATTTCTGAGTCATAGATCTATATATAGAATTGGTGTTCTCACGTCATCATTGTCACATTAAAATGAGGAAGAAATACAGAAGAGGCCCTATGAATACTTTATAGCAAGTACTAAGTAAATGGGAATACTTTTCTTCTTTGTTTTCTTTAATATTCAAATGAATGAGAAATAATGTACTCCTAATAGGAACAAAAGTAATTAGATACACTTAAAATTTTGAATTAAAAAGAAAAGATTATCTAACACTATTTATTATAGAAACCTTAAAGCCACCAACATTTTTTTAATTCTTTACCTATTTGCACCTTGAACTGTATGTTGTATGGGTTCCAAGTTTTCTTACTGTATCAGGTTATAATGAATGAATTGTCTTTGTCCCTACCAACTTGGAAAGTGACCATGATAAATGATAACCTTTATATTTTCTTTCTTTTTTTTTTGGGTTCGGTAGTGGGGCCTGAACTCTGGGCCTGAGCGCTGTCCCTCAGCTCTTCAGCTCAAGGCTAGCGCTCTACCACTTGAGCCACAGCGCCACCTCCGGCTTTTTTCTTTTTTGCTTATGTGGTGCTGAGGAATCGAACCCAGGGCCTCAGGCATGCAAGGCAAGCACTCTACCACTGAGCCATCTTCCCAGCCCCATAACCTTTATATTTTCAAGCTCTGTCATAGTATTCCATTCAAAGTGCTCATTTGTAGTTCTGATAAGATACTACACCTCTGCCAGTATCTTTTGTTCTTTGTAGTGTTTCCTTTTTTTGTTACCTAACACATATAATCAACGCTTATTTGGATAATCACTTGAAATAATACAAGTAACTGAGAATTTCACTTGACTAAAACAAGGGAAGTAGAAACATAAGGGACTACAGGATGAGATCTGAGAATTGCAGTTCAAAGCCAGCGTGAGCAGGAAAGTCTTATCTTCAGTTAACCACCAAAAGAGCCTTGAGCAAAAATTTTCAGAGACAATTCCCAGGTCCTCAGTTCAAACCCCAGGATCAGCACCCCCCCAAAAAAGTCAATAAACTGCCATCTATGGGACCAAGTCCAGCCAAGCTACCATTTTTAAGTGTTCAGCAGGGGGAAAAAAGAACTAATAATGTACAACAATAACTATGAAACTCAAATTATAATAATGTCAATATAGTTAGTTTTATTGGAATGAATCAACATTTATTTACATATTACTGCTTTTATAACATAATGTAGACAACTCTGCATATAGTTATAACAGATGTAGAGCTGAGAAAACTGGAAATATTTGTTTGCTGTCTGGCTCTAAACAGAAAAGATTGCTAGCTTTTAAATTGGTATTCTGATGTGAGAATGGGTAAGAATAATTATACAAAGAAAAATCCTGTCAGTTGTCCTTTCTCCCTCTGTATTCAAGATTTAAATATGTGCAGTAAGAGAATTTCATTTGAGTTTTGGGAACTGTATTCTGACCTCTCTGTCTTTATGCATACCTGGATATTTAAGATTTGAGCATTGCATGTTGACAAGTAAAACATAACAAATCACCAGAGTACTTAAAGCTACAGTACTTGCCTTGTGGTTCTTCCCTTACCCAGTGGTCTAAAGTCGTTTTTTTCTCCTAAATAACTAATATTCTTGATTTTTAAATTTTGCTATATTTTTCTCGTTGATAAAAGTAAAGAGAAACAACTTTTTATGTCACAGTATAATTGTTAAATATGATGCTAAAGACTTTTTTTTTTTTAACAAGTTTCTATTCATTATTTTACTGTTACAGTGCCAAAAAAACAAACAAACACCTGCCATGTTTTGGTTGTGTAATCATTTTACTAACTATAGAAGTAACTTTGTTAGGGCTTATTGTTAGGCAATATAAAATCATGCTATTACATCATATAATAGTTTGTAAACATTGTTTACATTTTGTTTAAAATATTTTCTGAGAAAATGCTTAATGACCTTTGTTTTGTTTTTAGGGTTATATCCTGTGTTGTGACCTCATGGTTTAAGTGGGAATAAAGATGAGTATAAGCAGTGATGAGGTCAACTTCTTGGTATATAGATACTTGCAAGAGTCAGGTGAGTACTTTTATAAAATAAATAGGCCTCAAATTATTCTATTATTCTCAAAATACTCTTTATGCATTTGAAATTTGTATCAGTCCAAACTGTTGACCTTTGTATGTTTCCTGATGTCTGGACTGCTATTTTAAAGCTGTGTTTTACTGCATGGTTTAACTCTCTGACTCTTTCAAATATGTTGCAATCATTATAGGCAAATACTTGTAATAGTTTTGTTTTTGTTTTTCACTGTCCGAAGGCCATTTTTACAATTTGTTATGAAGTGATATTATTATACCTGCGTAGAAGGAACATATAATTCTCAGAAACCGTCATATGCATAGCCTAAGCTTAGTTAATGTTATGTTCCTAATTAGATATTAGCTGATTTTTTTTTTCAGAATGCTTTCACAAATATTACTGCAATTGAATATATGCAGCCTTGATTTCAATTTTCATTACTGTATTGTGGTGATTGTAAATATAGACCAGTGAAAGCCATTTATTACTAATAAATGAGTGGTCAAGTTTTGTAGATTTCAGAGGTTTCGTTGTAAAACAAGAAGGAACAATGCACATTTATTGAGCATATAAAATGCAAACATGGGAGAGGAAGTTGTTTGATGTACATGGACACAGGATGGTGAGAAAGAAGAATGACTATTAGGTACAGGTGGGAAGTGACAACCACCAATCTAGAAATGGATTTTAGAAACTATACCTTAAGTTTACTATATTTTTTAAGCAAGTTAAGGTGTAATATAAAAATTGATTGTAGTAGTTGTGAGAGAAGACTGAAAGATAGAATAGTGGTATGTGTATGGGATACTAAACCCTCTGTGTATATCATTTTGAGATTTGAATCATTCTTTTTTTGGGGGGTGGGGGTCGGTCATGGGGCTTGAACTCTGGGCCTGGGCGCTCTCCCTACGCTCTTCAGCTCAAGGCAAGCATTCTACTGCTTGAGCCACAGAGCCACTTCTAGTTTTCTAGTGGTTTATTGGAGATCAGAGTCTCACGGACTTTTCCTGCCCTGGCTGGCTTTGAACTGGGATCCTCAGATCTCACTCTCCTGAGTAGTTAGGATTACAGGTGTGAGCCACCGGCACCCAGCTTTGAATCATTCTTATAGGGCAGAGCTAGTTCTTTCAATTACAGGAAGGCAAATATGGCTTTAGGTTATAATTCCCATTGTTGCTGATTTGTTTCTAGTCATGAGCCTTTTTTTTATTATTAATAAGTTTTTTTATTGTGAAAATACCGTATAGAGGGGTTACAATTACGCGAGCATGGTAGTGAGTACATTTATTATCAAGCATTATCATGAGCCTTTTTAAATGGGTTGGTGTTATCTATTTACAATGTGTTTTTTATTCCTAGGATATATGAACTGCTAAAATAGTCTTCAGCTTTAAAGACAGGGAAGCAGAGGTACAAGAAATTAACATAACTGGGAATAAATTAATAGGTATTCTTTTGCGTATGCTGATATGGCAGATCCAAATGAGGACTTCCAGGACTGAATAACATGATTGATAAAGTCAAAAAATCATGACCACAAAAATTATTATGTATATAACCTATGAATGCCATAGTACATTTAGTACATTTAGCCAAAATGGAAAAGATTTATTGAGTGAAAACACTGGTTTCTGCTTGAATCTGACCAGACCAGAGTCTTTGGGGCTTTTGGACAAACAAAAACCATCGTGGGGGATTGGTAAATGAGAATAGATTATTATAAAGGTTTATTGCTATTTTTAAAAGGCAACTTTTTAGTTCAAACCATTATGACATTACTGTTGTTGGATAACTCAATTGTATTTGGTGGCTTAGCCTGTGCAAAGGTGAGCTAGGGCAGACCAGCCTGGAGCGAGTTGAGTGAGTGAACTCAGATTGCCCTTTTCAAGACAATATAGTTGGGAAAAAGGGGCAGTAAGATAACATTCTGATTTAATTTCTGAAATATTTAGTCATTAAATATTTGCAATTCTCTGAAGTTGTGGTCTCAGAAAAGTTTTTTTTTTTTTTTTTTTTTTTTGGTGGTGGTGGGGCTTGAACTCTGGGCTTGGGCGCTATCTCTGCACTCTTCAGCTCAAGGCAAGCACTCTTCTACTTGAGCCACAGCGCCACTTCTGAGAAGAACTTTTTTAAAGTTTGTGTTTTTAAGTGTTTTAAGTTACAATATAAATCAAGAAATACAGTTTTAAAAACTTTGGTATGTACCTTTTAAGTCTGTTTATTGTAAGAAGTGAAGTTTTTAAGTTTAGTACTTTTTTGTACAATGAATTATTATTATTTTTTGCCACCTGTAGAGCTTGAACTCAGGGCCCTGGCACTGTCCCTGAGCTTCTTTTGCTCAAGGGTAGCACTCTACCTTGAGCCACAGCACCACTTCCCACCTTTTCTGTGTATGTGGTACTGAGGAATCTAAGCCAGGGCTTCATGCATGCTAGGTAAGCACTCTACCATTAAGTCAGCTTCCCAGCCCCTGTACTGGTGGTTTTAAGTATGTTATTAAGTAGCAGAAGCTCTTAAATAAGAATAATACCTTCATAAAAATTGTAGCTTCCAACCCGTACTTGTAGTTCATACATGTAACAATGCTAACTTCTCAGGAGGCTGAGCTTTGAGGATCAAGACTTGACACCAGCACAGGCAAGAATGTCTTTAAGACTCCTGTCTCCAATTAACTACAGAAAAAATAAGCTGGAAATGGAGTTTTGGCTCAAAGTGATAGACCACTAGCTTTGAACAAAAAAGGTCAAAAACAGTACCCAGACCCTGAGTTCAAGCCCCAGGACCAGAGTACACGCCTAAAAAATTGTAGCTTCCCATTTACATTATGATTTATGGGAGGATTAAACTTGTTCTGGGAATATAACGACACAAATTTAAGAACTTTCTCTAGCAGAATTATAAAGTTTGATGCTTTGGCCGCCTCGTACATCAGGATCTCTTAAGAAATGTCAAATTGGGCCCAGGAATGTGCATTTTACAAAGACCCCAGATATTCATAGACCTCTACTAAAGTTGAAAAGCAAAAGTCAGAAACAGGAAAAAATGTATATATACTGAGATGAGGTTGTAGTAATACTTCTAAAGAACTGCCACTAACTATTCTGGTATAATTATATTTGTGGGCAGTGTTCACAGGAATAATGAGGAATGTTTTTGTCAATAAAGGATGCTATGAGATTTCTGAAAGTGCTTTCAGAAACGGAAACAGTAGAGAGCTAGTTCTGAGAACCCAGGACAGTTCAGATTGAATTTGGAATCTCATCCACAACAAAAATTTTAGTGTGGCATAAATACATGTATTTCCCTTGTACTCCAGAAGCCCTTTCTTGGTTGTGATTTCTATTTATATGTAAATATGGCCATTTTGCAGTAGATTCTAGTTTGGAATCTCCTGGTCAAACCCAGCATTCATTCCCTGGGCTCCTTTGGTGATTCAGTGTATTTAGTGTCATAACATGCAAGGGATATTTGTAGGTGATTTGTGATTAAGCATTTAAGAAATACAAATTGCTTTAAGCTCATAGCTATTTCTCTTGAAAGATTTTCCTGCCTTCTCTATAGAAGAACACTGTATTGGTTTGGCAAATGTGTAGAAAAGGAACACTCATGGCAGAGAGATGCTCTGCAGAGATGTTCAGAGGTCTTTTTTGTGAAGACTTTGGAACAGAGAAGAAAATAGCCTCAGCTATCTCATTTTCTAAAGGCTTTCAGTCAGAAAGTTGAGAAACAACTTAGGAAAGTTTTGTTTAAAATGTGGTTCAGAAATCCTGTTTAGTACATCCATTCACACCAAGCAGTGTTAATGTTAAATGAACTGTGGCCTCCCACCTCCAAGGAAAATAAAATCACCTAAGTTATTTGGAAGATATTGTTAAGTCTTTACCACCTCCCCACCCAATTTCATATGTTTTAAGTGCTTTTCTTTTCTTTTTTGTCTTTTTTTTTTTTTAGATAAATAGAAAATGCCAAGGAATTAACATGTGATACTATAAGCAACAATTGACTTGATTCATTAGTTTGCCTAAGGATAATAACTCATACAGATATATGAGTATCTGTGTAGATAGGTACCTTGTGGTACAAGATAAGTTATATAATAAAACCTGGGTACTTGGGTAGAGGAGCTGATTCGGATCTTAAATATCCCATGTGGTCTACCCCTTCCCTTGGTTCCTATAGATTTCTGGTTTTGTTCTTTTCTTCTTCTTCTTCCTTCTTCCTTCCTTCTTATTTCTTTCTTCTTCTTTTTTTTGGGGGGGGGTCGGTCATGGGGCCTGGGCGCTGTCCCTCAGCTCAAGGTTAGTGCTCTACCACTTGAGCCATACCTCCACTTCTGGCTTTTTCTGTTTATGTGGTGCTGAGGAATCAAACCCAGGGTCTCATGCATGCACTTTACCATGCACTCTACCACTGATCCACCTTCACAGCCCTCTCTTTCTTCTTCTGTGGGGCTTGAGCTTGTTGTTTTGTTTTTATTTTATACTAGGCCCCACTCTCTTACTTGTGAAGAGCTTTATAATGACTTTGCTATTGATGATATCCTGGACTGTTGGGTGTTAGGAAACAGCTTATATTTGAAAAAGTAACCAAAACTTGCAAACACAAAAGACCCTAATTACTAAACTGAATTCTTTTCTGATTTGTGAATACTGTTACTTAAAAAAGAAATACCTCATACTTTTAGTCATGGATCAGTGGCTCACACCTGCAATTGTAGCTATTTTGTGTCTCCCAATGTTATTATTTCAAAGTGATGATATATCTTGACTTAACAAGTAGGGTCTCTCCTGGACCCTACTTTCCTTTACTATTTACTCGCAAACCTTTTCCAAAGGTGTCACATCTCCTGCTATATCCTACACCACAGTACTTTTTCTGATTTGGCACTCACTTCAAGTGTTATAGAGGATTAACATCCCTCATCTAAATCCAGATTGCTTCAAAATAGAAAACAGAATATGAAGTCATGGTGCATATAGAAGAAAACCCCACACCTG